ATTCACAACCATCTCCATTCCAAATCTTCAGTGTCTCTTATTGTTACTGTCTTACTGTTCCCTCTGAAATTTCAAATTTTATGTATCTGTGAACCGAGCAACTTGCCTCATCAGATACATGCCATATGAGTTTGTGACGTAATTACTCATATGGTTTGTGGCCAGTTTCGCATAAATCAATTAACAGAAGTAAAGTTTTTTTTTTTTTAAGATAAAATTCAAAATGACATTATGTTGGCAATACAGTGTAAAATTGTCAATGCTTTCAATTTTTTTTATGTAGAAAAGGCTTGTGTTGCCAACATAGTTACTACATGGTACTTCCCCAAACTGTGTGGTGAGCATTTGGCGTCGCAGCCGATGAGCAGTTGGGTCCCATTCGCTCTTGTGTGAATCTTGTATATATTTACCTTTGAAATATCAAGTGGTGGAGGTATTCTAATGGGACCTGTAACTCTTATTGACGACTGTGTGGTATTGGCACCGTCATTCACTCCCATTAAAGACCTTACACCGCACCGCGCATGTTGTAACCAGTAGGTATTGTTTTGTAGGAATGTGTTGTACCATCTGAACGAGATTATCTGGACATCCTTTATCTGGGTGTTCTGCATAGCCAAGATGAGCCAAGGTTGAGGGTCCTCTTTAATTATTCTTCGACCTCTGAAAGAAGCACCTAATAACCTGACGTTCCAGGTGTTTATTTTTTCCTATGGTGAAGACACTTTAATATATATGGAGAGTATGTGATGAGAAAAGTTCTACAAGGTTGGCGAGGGGAACGAAAAAAGATAACCAACCACGAACCTCAGATATGCTGACGACACCTTAATTCTAGCGTGTTCAGAAGAAGAACGCCAAATAATGAGAAAGTTCGACAGGATCAGCAGAGAACATGGTCTTAAGTTGAACAAAAAGACGCAAATTATGATAGTAGACTGCAACCTACTAATATCAGACGCAGACTGTTAATAGCACGTGATTTTCGACAACAAAACTAACTCGAATATGGAAAGACACTGCACTATACCAAAGCAACAAGCTGAAACTACGGAGAACCTTCTTCTTTCCCATTGACATAAATATGCCTCTGAGATCTGGACTTTAAAACCTAACAACCTGAGACAAAATTGAGATGTTATGTATTGATATTTTGATCGCGTGAATCATTCTGTCACATCTTAAAATTTCGTGGTAAATTATGCTGAAAAGTGAATTTGATCTGAAGCAGTAGATAACTGAACCGGAGGCAATCTGAGCGAAATCATCTGTCTTCTCTTCTTGGGGTGGTTATTGAAAGGTGTTAATAGAGTCTCAAAATTAGTACCACTTACCACTTTTCTGCTGAAGCTGGAAACACCTTCTCTAACCGCACAAACCGGCACGTAAGAGCTTTTTACGCTACCACCGGTGTTTTAATGGGGATTTTAAAACCAGAAAAGAAAAGACTAATTTTGAAATATTAAAATTAATTTATTTATGAGTGAAAAGAAAAGTTAATTATTTAAAAATAAAAAAAAGGTAAGGTAAAATATAAAAGAAACTAAAAAAAAAAAACCTTATTTAATTGATAGACTATAGACAATTTTTTTAACTTAAGAAAAATTAAGACAATTGAAAGAAAAGACACTAATTTCCCAATGAAAAAATTTAGTTCAAATCTGAGACTTTATTGGAATAGAAATTAAAAATAACTATCACCTCTTTGGAGAGCTTTCACTAAAACACCGGGCGGCAGATGAACTAGAGGATGAGGAACGAATCGAGAACTCGTTGAGACTTTGCGACTTTTTCCGGCGATTACTCTTGGTAAAATCTAGTGGCGAATTGGTTCTCAAGTTTATTCAACCTTCCCCATCCAAAGTGCTCAACCCTGTGATCCAGTTTGATGGCTCTCCAACAGAGTTCGCTACTTACATGTTGTCAAATTATTAATTGAACATTTACTGTTTTCCCTTTTAATTGAAAATCTTCCCCTTTTCTAAATACCTAATTAAATGTATAAGATAAAAGTTCCCTAAATTCTAACCTAATTCTCAAGGGTGTGAAATGATCTAAACTATCTACTAATATAATAATAAAATATTTGAGTATTCACTCCTATCCTAATCTACCTATATTTTAATTATAACTATAAGCATTAGACCATCTTACATTTAACGTTTCACTCAAGTAAGAACCCTTGATAGTTATATCGTTATACAATTGGTTATTGCGTCTTAAAATTCCAGCTCATCTAATCATTGTTTCGCTACACACACATATGCTTCGAATATATATACAATTGGAGTGCTATCAGTTACCTGACATCTGGGTTCATCATAAAACGTGGGTCAGAGATTATCCATGACTTTGAATAAATTATTGCAACCACATGGGATCTGGTTCAGTCGAGAGATTAGTTTAAAGTTTAGTGTTTATCTCGGAAAACTAAATTTTGCCATATATTTGTCAATTTTGGGTTATAGCAATAATAATCTTGAAGCTATAAAATTCGATACTTTTCTGGCTTTCAAGTGCTTTTTACCCTCGAACAGATTAGGCTTTTCGCAGAATTCCATGTGTTTGTAAATTTCATTATAGGGTCACATTTTAGCTATCTATAAAAATTAAACTTTTCCCACGAATAATGAATTTGAACCGAGAATAAAAATTTGTTATTGTTGTTGTTACAAACCGAAGAAAAATTTGAAATGTGGGCCTACAGAAAAATGCTCCGAATTTCGTATACAGAACATCGTACAAACGCATCAATTCCTTAACAGTCAAAAGTCACTGCAACTTTCAACAGAAATAAACCAGTCATACCTGAGGTACTTTGGACACATTTCAAGAAGAGCAGATGGATTGGAAAAACTTATCGTTTAAACGACCAAAAGGAAGGTTTCAGACGCGCTGGTTGGATCAAAGCAAAGAAATGATTGGCATTGGCAATAGGCTTCTCTAGCAGCTCAGGTCAGAAAAGGATGGAGAACGACAATCCGAGTAATTTAGTCATGATGTCACCATACTCTCTCGAGAGTTGACGGACAGGAAGAGAGAGAAGACACTTCAGGGAAGATCAAAGCCTTAGTGCGGCTTTCTATGGTTCATATTTTCATGCCGCTCATTCCTTGAAAGACAGACCTTGATTAACAAAATTACTTTTGAAAACAACCTTCAAAATCTCACTAGCTAAAAATTAATTTTCTTTCTCGAACCTGGATTCTGCGGATTAAGAATTACCTACGACCTACTAACGGTAAACATTTATGACTAACTATCTTCCTCATAATTTGGACAAATTACCTGTTTTTCGAATATAGGTCGTGTTTACAACGCGTTAGAAAGCCACATTGAAAACATTACTCAAACCTCGTACTTATCTAATTATAAATTAAATAACTATTACATTTTACAACTCTCGGCCGTACTGTATGCACTTAAATTGTACTTCCTTTGGGTTGTGTGGCTCTGTTTACACTAAATAAAATTGGTATTATTACATGACTAGCGGACCCGGCGAACTTCGTAACGTCTCAGAATCAATAAATGTTAAGTTAACGCATTAGCTTAATTAAATTCAGTTTTTTAATAAGATAAAATGATTACTAACAATAAACTATGTGGTTCAATAAATGTTCAAAAATCAAAATGGAACAAACCGCGCAATCTAACGCGGCAAACTTGGTATCGGTTATAAGACATGGCGCCGTATGCATATTTAGTGAATTTTCTTCATAAATATGTTTTTCTTTTTCTTGTGTTTTTTTTATATGTTCCAATGTTCCAATAGTTGTTATGTAATTCGGGCCAGACAAATCCAATATAACAAAAATCATAAAAATCGGCCTAGCAGTTCTCGAGTTATAGGTTCTGCAACCAACCCGACAGATAGATAGATAATACAGTTACGTCAGTTGAATGCGAAAATTTGAATTTTTAAATTTTTTAATAAAAAAATAATACAGTTTCGTCGGTTGAATGCGCACACTTGAATAAATGTGGCAACGTTGTTTCGTATTGTCAAAAAAAGTTGGGTCATGTATGTGAATAAGTTTGTTTATAATTAATTAAAAATTAATTTTGTTTTCCGAGAAAAAATGTAGCCTATACTTACCCCCTTTATATAGTGACTAAGTGTTATAAATTCCAAGGAGATCGGTTCAGTCGTTCTTGTGTTCTAAAAAATAATACAGTTACGTCGCGTCGGTTGAATGCACAAGCTCAAATAAATGTGGCAACGTTGTTTCATGTTCTCAACAAAAAAAGTTGGGTCATGTATGTGAATGAGTTTGTTTATAATTATTAATTAATTAAAAATATTTTTTTCCGGGACAAAAAGTAGCCTATGTCACTTCCCTTCAGATAGAAACTACGTGGTTTAAATTTCAAGGAGATCGGTCCAGCCGTTCTCGAGTTATAAGTGCTTCCACAAAACACAACTGTGTTTTATATATATAGATTTTTATAATTACCTACCACATAATCAATTGCGTTGAAATATAATGGGCGTATTTTGTAAATATTTTCAGGATATTGATTTCAACTTACTTCAGTAAAACCTCTTGTAGGTACCTACTTCAATTCCTGACTGTTTATTCAAATCTTAACAACGTTTTGCATCCTCTTCAAGAGCTAAAACAGGAATTTCGTGGCATTGTCATTATTTTGAATTACTTAATAAATGGCATCATTTGCTTTGGATTCTAATTAAAATGTATGTTGCTTTTGAATTATTACAAACATGAGGCAAGGCTTTGGCAAAATTTAAAAATGTATTTCATCATGAAAATAAATTTAATCCACTAAGAATTATATATTTTTCATATGACATATTAGTTACCCACTAAGAAGTCTGTCAATGATCATCGAGTAACAGTTGAATTAGAGGAAATATTTTTTTAAACAGTATAAACAACAGAGGTCCTAGCCGTGAAAAATATGTAGCACCCATTATTTTATGTTTATAGTTTGCTTTTTACGACTCATTAAAGTGATCTATTTTTTTTTTTTTTCAGACGTTGTTGATATTGCCATTACCGAAACGACAAGGACACCGCCGAGCAAATCTGGAAATAACAACAACAAAAACTGGTCACCCTATGGCTGCCATTACTATCCAGATCCCGAAGCTTTTCCTTCGCCAAATTTGGACTCTTTACCGCCGGAGCCTTTGAAAAAAGGCGAACAATATTTTCTGGATTTAGCTGGAAATATATGCAAGGGACCAGTCGGAGTGGGGTACACCTGTTATTGTGCCCCACTGTTTAGACATTTAGAGGCCAAGATAGAGAAGGATAAAAAGGAACTGGTTAGAGCACAGGTAATACTATTTTGTGATTTTATCCGAAAAAACTAACTGCGATTATTTTGGTTCCTGTTGAATGAAAATTTTGATGAACTTGCCAACACCTCCGATTATTATTAATATGTAGTATTTTAGCTGTCATAATTTCATATCTTTTTAATTTCCAATAATGAAACTTAACTTTAGATCATCAGATGAAATTTCAAAGTTCAATGAATAGAGCTCGGAGTAGTTTAATTTTGGTGCAATCTATGGGTCACTTATAATCCCTCATTTCTTAATATTGTAAAATTTTCTATACTCAGGTCCGTTTGGGACAAAGAGTGGCAGGTTTAGAACAAAGAATGAGCAGAGGAGGCTATGGAAGACGTTCGGAGAGAGTTATCAATTTGAATAAAGAGCCCGAGCCTCAACTATCAAGATCTCGAAGTTTGGAAATGTTGGATACCGCTACAAAATCACAGTTGCAAGCTACAAGGTAAGTTTCTTCTTATTATTCTGAGAATATTTTGAAAAAATAAAAGGTCAAACATGTGACAAAAAAGGGTAATTTACTTACTTGAAACTTATCGTGAATCAAGAGTAAAATCTGATAAAGGTAGAAAAACTGGTAGAGTTTCTTCAGTACTTATTGACTGGTAAAATTTGTTGAAGACTTACCTACATAATACTGGCTTAAGGCTTTCTTGCCCTATTGAAATTTGCTTGAGGCAGTTAACTGAGTTTTCAGGCTCACATCCAATAAGATTAGGTATCCAAAGAATACATCAACTGGATGGCAGCTAGAATAATAACAGTTAAACAAGAAGATTCTTATGAAGAAGCTTTAGACTATAAGAACCTAATTCTATAGTCATGCTTTGGGGTTGAAGTCTTCAGGCCATAGGTTCTATAAGCCTGGTTGTTCGAAATTGATAGGTGATGGTACCTCGGATGTTACCAATAGTTGAAAGGCCCAATTGTTGAAATCTTCCTGCCTTGGATGCCTTGAATAAATTTCGAAAATTAAACATGTTCTTGACAATGAAGTCTTGAGATATAAAATTTGCATTCGGAACATATAGAAATATCAACAATAGAACAGTCGAAAAGTGTATTTTTTAAAACTTTATTTCAATTCAATCTCTCCAAATTTTTTTCCAACCACACTTCCCTGATAAATCTACCTAGTTTCATTGTACCTATATCGTTGTTCAGCGATCTATAGCGGCACAGTGAAATCTACAATAACCTGTGCATATTATGCTACAATAACTCTGATCGTTAGTGACTATTTTACGTTGAAACATGATGTAAATATGCGTTTCCTGTATAAATTCACCGGTGTGGGTAGACATGGGAACATTTCGAACACCTGTATATCGTTAGCATTTCGATTCGAATGATAATAGAAAAAGTACCGCGTTTGTCTACGAAAGGAGAGGTGATAAGAGTCTTTATTATTGTTCGTACCATAATTATGGGCTTGTGAAGAGTATGTTGCTTGCTTGAAGAAAATTCTATAAAAATTATGTACCTATGCTTATTTTTATCCAATAATATTTATTGCTTACTGCTCATTTCTATGAGCCTATATGAGGAGACTTTGTCTTTTTTATAACATTGGGATTCCATATTATAGGTTTTCTTGGGAGCCACATTTCGTAAATTTAACAAATACCGCAGTTCATTAGCTATTGGTTCGTTACTACTAAAAGTAGATTAACATGTTACGTAAAATCAAAAAACCATGAAGTATAAGCGTAGATTTTAGGGAAAAAATTTCAATTTGATTGAGACTGTGGCATAATTTGTAGCCGTTACGGATTAACAGTAATATCAATTATTGAAATTATTGTTCTCGTTTCCAAGCCACTTACAAACCGATAAATATTACATTCATGCCCTGAAGAAATATAACAAAATTCCTGTTACCTTGTAAATTATTCGTTATTATGTATGAATACTATCTATATTTCTGGGCTACTGTTATAATTATGGGCTCTTATAGATGAATGCGAATTATTCTTATTATCTGCCCACACTATACTTGATATACAAATTATCAACTATGAATTTTTTGCTACGTTTTTGCAGGAATTATTGATATAAGGTGTAGGTACCTACTTACCTGAATTAAGCTTTGGTAGGTATTTTCCTCTTTTGACGGAATTCAACAAACCCGCACTTTCTTACAACTCAATACAATTTCGATATCTTATTAGTAATTTGTGAGTTTAACGTCCATAAAGGAATCCTATGTTACTACCTGGTCTGGTATATCCTCGCCCTAAATATCTCAATTGGTATAGGAATTTTGTATCGCCTTCTTTGGAATAGGATAACTTTGCCCTGTTGACCAATAATCTTGATCTTCAAGTTATTGCATCACTGGTGGATGAGATCTGTCGATTTCTAAGACCTCTGGCTGATTCATTAATAATATTAGTAGTTTTGCACTGGTTTGTATCTGTTGAAGAACATTCTACATCTTTATGGAAGTCTTAAGACCAGTCATTTTATTTTTATATATTTAAAAAGGTGCATGACGTCGTATTTTCCTCTTAATTTGAATCATATCAAGGGCTGAATTAGTAGGTACTTCCGAAAAAGTAGTAATTGAACTTTGAAGGATGGATCCAAGGAAAGTTCATATAGGATTACTGGAAGATAATTGGACCACATGTAAGTACAAAGTGGACATTCTTCTCTAAGAGGTATTCCAAATGCTGTTGATATTTTGGAAGCAAAATTAGTGTTTCCAGTTCTGAAAGAAAATGCGTTAGCAGTTGAGTTGAAATTGCTGCGCATGAGGCAAGCCTGGTGAGTTTAGATACTGCAGATTGTAATTCACTTCTGGCTCTTACGATAAATATGACACAAGATACCTTACAAAAAGCTATGAGGTTTTTTGGAAAATCTTCTTTAAAACATGAGAGAATTATTGGAACATACTGTTATGCCCATGTACCAAAGTCAGGAAGAAAGAAAGTTGATAAAAAGGCAATGTAAGGCATACTTATAGGATATGACTAAAATGATGGATAGTCAGATCGAGAGATGTGATATTCGACGAAAAACTCATAACTTCAACGTTGCCATTGTTGGAAGACCCTGTTGGAACTTTTCAGCAAAACAATTGTAAGATTGTCAGAAGCAGGGAAGGTACTCTAAGACAAGAAACTAAAGAAAACAATGGACAAGACGGCGAAGAAGATGATAGTTTGAAGAATCACAGTTTTTCTGACACTCGTTCTGACATCTTAGTAGAATCACCAGATAATGACATTTCAGAAGAAGTTCCAAATATACCGAGTAGACAACTGAGAGATAGAAATCAGATACAAAAGCCTGCCAGGTTTGAAGATTTCGCTATGATGGTTGCTGCAGGCATTATGGAAATAAACGAGACAATTACGTACCGAGAAGCTATGTCAAGTAATAGAGCAAATAACTGGAAAATGGCTATGGGAAGAGAAATGAAGTCTTTAGAGGATTTTAGGAAAGCTACCCAATGGTAAGAAGGGATAAATTGGTGTACAAGTTAAAATATAATCCAGATGGCTCTATAGAAAAATTCAAAGCCAGACTAGTCGCAAAAGGTTATTCACAGAAGATACATCAAGATTATGATGCGACATTTAGCCCAGTTGCTAGATTTGCTACAATATGATTTGTTTTGAGTCTCTGCCAGTGAAAATTTAAGCCAGTTTGATGTATGTACAGCACTTCTATATGGTGAGCTTCAAGAAGAAGTATACATGAAACAGCCAGAGGGTTCCAATGATGGTACAGATAGGGTTTGTCATCTAAGGAAGAGCCTATATGGACTTAAGCAAGCTCCTAGGTTTTGGAACAGGAGAATAACGGATTTTATTCTATCCTTTGGTTTCAAACAGAGCGATGTCGATCCATGTCTCTTCATCATGAGGGAAGGAATGGAAATTCTTATTTTATATGTGGACGATGGTCTACTAGCCTCAAGTAATAAAGAAATTGAAAAATATTTTTTACGGCAACTACAGATAGAGTTTAAAGTCACGATAAAGCCTGCATCATATTTTTTGAGTATGGAAATCATGAAGTCAAAGAATGGAGCAGTTATGATAAATCAAAATGCATATGCCAAGAAATTGTTGAAAAAAATTGGTATGAACAATTGCAGACTCGTCAAAACTCCAATTGTTAAGAATAATTCTCCTTCATAAGAAGTCGAAATATCAAACTTTTCATATAGAGAGGCTGTTGGAGCATCACTTTACCTGATGTCAGGATCAAGACCAGAAATTTCATACGCAGTCAGTGTGGCGTCAAGAAGTTTGGAAAATCCAACTCACAAAGACTTTCTCCAAGTAAAGAGAATTTTCCGTTACATTCAAGGAACACTCAATTGTATCACTTACAGGCCAAGAACCCGAAGAGGTTACCTACAAGCTTTTAGTGATGCTGATCATAGAAGGGATATAAAAACAGGATGCTCTACAAGTCCACAACAGGAGTGGTATGTGTGTATGCTGGAGATGCTATATCCTGGATGAGTTAGAGACAACCTTCAGTTGCTATTTCAACAACCGGAGCGGAGATCGTTGCAGCTAGCGAAGCTTCAAAAGAACTTGTATGGATAAAAAGATTATATGAAGAAATGATAACACTGAAAGAAGTTCCAGAGTTATTAGTGGACAACGAAGCAGCTATTCGTTTGGCACAAAATCCTGAGAACCACAAGAAAACCAAGCACATTCAGATTCGACATTTCTATGTGAGAGAGGTTGTCTTAAAAAAAACTTTGAGTGTATACAAAACGTCTACAGAAACTCAAGTTGCTGATATAATGACAAAAGCCTTGTTCAAACCAAGACATGACATTTTATGCGACAATATAGGCCTAACCAAGATTTCTAATGAGGGAAGGTGTTGAAGAACATTCTACATCTGTATGGAAGTCTTAAGACCAGTCATTCATACTCGATCAAAGACTTGTTTTACGTTCAGCGTAACAGCGCCTATCAGTTACAGTTGAATCGTTTAGTAACAAGCCTCAATATTCTGAGTATTTGTGACTCAGTAGAGTATACTTTTCTGAAGCACAACTCTTCGCCAGGAATTTATTCGAGCTGTTCAGCTTCTTTTTGTAATTTGTAGAACAGGCAAGGAGTCAATGGGATGCATCACGGTCTAGTGTCTTCCTAGTTTTCAGGCCTTTGTGAATGTCCTAAGAGGACTGACATGGTTCCTGGTACGTCGATGCGTTAAATTAATTAATCGAGTCTTTGTGATTGCCATCTTCATCTGGATGTTCATTTACTAGGTGTTTTTTTCGCTCTAGAGTATCTGCGAACGCTACAGTTTTGTCTTTATCAAATCATACCATCCACACTAATGCTGATTTTTGGAATCTTCTGATCCCATCTGTTGTTTCTGAACTAAGGCTCTAACTTTTCCAAGAATCCAAGACTATAAAGTTTCAGCAGCCAGTTTGAACTACTCAGATACCTCAGG